ATCTCACTCGTTCTCTTAGGAGGTTGGGAGGATACTGAAGCGTCCTGTGTTTAAAAGAATTTGTGGGTCTTTGGGGCCAGATTTTGATGGCATTTTTAGATTAGATCAGAAGGTAGGATGTAGCAGCTCTTTTTGGCACAAGAAAGAGGTATCTGAGCGTGCAGCAAGAAATAAATATATATTCCCAGACGCACATGACAGATGTTGGGCAATGTCCTCACGTGACCCACTGAGAGGAAGGATACTATGTGTCCTGCCAATTTGAGTATTTATTCTGGAATCCCAGGCTACTGCAAGCTGTTGTGTTGGATTTTTTTAGTTTGTGTGGTTTTCCTTAGTTGTTGAAGGAATTTCAGAAAAATCTTTGATGTTAAGAAGGGCAGCGTAAACCCAAAATCACCTTTTCTTCTTTTTCCTTTCCTTTTTTTGTTCCATCTCAGCTTCCTAGGCTTCATTCATGGAGGGAGGGACAAGCCCTGGGGAGAGAAAAACCACAGAATTTGAGTCAGTAGATCTGGTTTCCATTCCTGGTTCACCCCCTTGCTGCACCCCTGAGAAGTTACTTTACATTTCTGATCCTTAACTGGCCCCATCTATAAAATGAAAATCAAGAGATCCACCTCACATTTTATGTGAATAAAAATGTGTATGAATGTTCATTATGTATTACTGAGAGTTACTCATATATGATTCTCATCTTCCTCCAAGGCTACCCAGAAGACATGTATATGTGCCATTTATTTCCTCTTCCATGACATCACTTACTGCCTCCTGTCACCCACAGACATATTTCATTCAAAACTGGAATGGGGCTGGGCACAGTGGCTCATGCCTGTAATCCCAGCACTTTGGGAGGCCAGGGTGGGCGGATCACGAAGTCAGGAGTTTGAGACCAGCCTGATCAACATGGTGAAACCCCGTCTCTACTAAAGATACACAAAATTAGCTGGGCATGGTGGCGCGCACCTGTAATCCCAGCTACTCTGGAGGCTGAGGCAGGAGAATTGCTTGAACCTAGGAGGTGGAGGTTGCAGTGAGCCAAGATCGCACCATTGTACTCCAGCCTGGGCAACAGAGTAAGACTCCGTCTCGAGGAAAAAAAAAACCAAAACTGGAATGGACAGGACAGTGTTCCTGAAATTTCCTGTATTAAGGTGTTTTCTGGGTTTTAAGTACTGTCTAGTGCTAGGGGTATCACTTAGGCTGCTTTCAGCTGCAAGTAATCAAATACCTCAGTCAGTCAGGATCTCAGCAAGAAACAGCAGACTCAGATTAGGATTATTTGAGGAGGGTTTTTTTAATTTCTATTTTTATTATTTATTCATTTTTGAGATGAAGTCTCACTCTGTTGCCCAGGCTGGAGTACAGTGGTGTAATCTTGGCTTACTGCAACCTCTGTCTCCTGGGTTCAAGGTATTGTCCTGCCTTAGCCCTCCTGAGTAGCTGGGATTACAGGCGCACACCACCATGCCCAGCTAATTTTTGTATTTTTAGTAGAGATGAGGTTTCACCATGTTAGTCAGGCTGGTCTCTAACCCCTAACCTCGTGATCCACCCGCTTCAATCTCCCAAAGTGCTGAGATTACAGACATGAGCCACCATGCACAGCCTGTTTTATTTTTTGAGACAGAGTCTATCTTTGTTGATAGGCTGGAGTACAGGGGCATGATCTCAGCTAACTGCAACCTCCGTTTCCTGGGTTCAAGCGATTCTTCTGCCTCAGCCTCCCAAGTAGCTGAGACTACAGGCGTGCACCACTATGCCCAGCTAATTTTTACATTTTTAGTAGAGTTGGGGTTTCACCATGTTGGCCAGGATGGTCTTAATCTCTTGATCTCGTGATTTGCGCACCTCGGCCTCCCAAAGTGCTGGGTTCCAAGCGTGAGCCACCACACCCAGCCATTGAGGAGGGTTTTATAAAGGGACTATTCACAAGTGTGGCATTGTAGTGGAATCAAGGGACTTACATCAGCAGGGCTATTTGGAAATAACTCCTAGACCCAAAAAGAGAGGAAGCAGTTACTAGAACCTGGAAAGAAACTCTTGTTAGAGAAAGGCACTTTCAGAGACAAGCAATAACTTTCTGTCAAAGGGACACAGCTAGCCCGAGGTGGCCCTGTGGTGAGGGAGCTAGGGGAGTAAATACCCTGCCCTCACTCTCTTTCCTCCAGTCTCCTTCCAGAACTCCCCATTAGCCAAACCCTCTGGAAGTCAGAAAACTAGGGGGCCTGTTGTTGTGGTCTGTAGGTCAGCCTCTGCAGCATCAAACAGCGTGGAGAAGCCGAGGGGCGGACCCTGCAGGGGCAAATATAAGCTATCTGGCCCAACACCCAGCTACAGGTAGTTTAAGAAGTTATACCACTTATCGCCTTTAAAAAGAAACACAGAAGTAGTCTCTGTAATGGCTCAGTGGTAATGTAATCACAGACTCTGGTGTTCTTTTGCTTTCTGCTCCACCTTCCTTAGTTAATAGCTTGGTCTTTGAGGTTGTCTGATGATTGCCAGTTGTCTGCCACATTTCTAGGCATCTGTAAATGGTACAGCATCTGGCTGAAGAAAAGGGGAATTTAAATCGGATAGGAATACCCTCTCCAGAACCTCCCCATAGACTTCCTCTTGGGACCCATTGGCCAGGACTGGGTCATATGGCCAAGAAAATAGAATTTCCAGGACTGGATAAAACATATTCACGGCTGGGCACGGTGGCTCATGCCTGTAATCCCAGCACTTCGGGAGGCTGAGGCAGGTGGATCACCTGAGGTCAGGAGTTTGAGACCAGCCTGGCCAACATGGCTAAACCCCATCTCTACTAAAAATACAAAAATTAGCCAGGTGTGATGGTGGGCAACTATAATCCCAGCTATTTGGGAGGCTGAGGCAGGAGAATTGCTTGAACCCAGGGGGCAAAGGTTGCAGTGAGCCAAGATCACGGCACTTCACTCCAGCATGAGTGAAAGAACAAAACTCTGTCTCAAAAATATATATATCTATGTATCACATTTATCCTCTGGATCTAGGGAAGTGCCACATTTCCTGAACCCATGGGACAGTGAACACCCAAATCAAATCAGGCTTCTGACTGTAAGAAAAATGGCTGTTGGATATATAGCTGTTAGGGCCTGCAATCTGTGATGTGTCATTAGGAAACCTTGGCACCTGTGGGCTAACTGCCAAGTGAATAGGCCCAGCAGACCGGCCCAGCACCCAAGTGCCACTCCAGGATCTGCTTGCTTGGAAGAGCAAAGAAAAAAATCCCCAGACTCCTATGACTATATGAAGCCTTACAGTTTAGGTAAGCAAGAGAGGAAAATACTTAGAAAAATCTCATTGTTTGTAGAGAAATTCTATTTCCTGTCCAAGTGTTTGGATCTTGCATTTCGTATCTTACCCCAAGAAGCATGTGGTGGTTTTCTCAAAGAGGCAGAGCCCTGATCCTAGCATTCTGTAGCTCCATAGTTATCCAGGGTGGCCCTGGGTGTTTAATTTGAGGTGGCAGCTCTCTGTTTGAGGGCATTTGCTTAGTGCTTTGACATTAGTAGAAAAGGAGTTTTCAAAGTGACACCAGGTTCCTGTATTGATTTATAAATTGGTTACAGTCTTAATCAGAGTATGAGGGTATGAGCCAATCCCCTCTGAAATACAAGGGACTTTCTGTACCTCTCAGTATACCATTAAGGGCCTGAAGAAGGCTGTTTAATATTTCCCTTTAGACCTAAAGAGAAGGGTATCATAAAGCTACTTTTAGTATTGATATCTGATTTCATTTTTTCTGTTTTTATAGATGGGGGATGGGAGCAAAACAAGAAGAAGAGAGGGTGTATGTGTGTCTGTGTGTGTGTGCCTGTGTTTTGAAACTCCATTAAGCTGCCAGCAGCCCTGTTTGTTATTCTGCACTCTGATCATGCAGGTATCTGGCAGATTTATGTTCCATTAGACAGGTTTAGATTTCAAGCAGACCATTTGCAACCTGGACCATGTGTCTGTGGTATTAGGTTTCGTGTATAGGGGCAAGGAAGAAAAACTGGGTGGTGACCAGGGAGAGTTTGTGCTACATTTCCTCAGAAATGTCAGTTTTGATTCTTTGAATGCTCCTGTCACAAGGGCCAGAGGAGGCAGGGTTGTCTTTTACCCTGACTTTGCTGCTGGAGACATTGAGGTCTAGTTAGCTGGTGCACATTGGTCAGCCAGCAGCATGCAACCTGAGAATTGAAGACGTGGACTTCTGGTCAGGTGACAGCCAACTGCAATTGAGATTTAAAAGGATTTTCTTACTAGCTTTCCAGTTAAATCATCTTAAATCATTTTGGATGATGCACAGCACACAAAAAAATAGTAAGATAATGCTTTTTCTCTTCCTTTATGAAGACTGCCTAATACCCTAAAAAGTAACTGTAGACAGCTGGGTATGGTGGCTCATGCCTGTAATCCAGCACTTTGGGAGACTGAGGCAGGCAAATCACGAGGTCAGGGCAGGCAAATCATGAGGTCAAGAGATGGAGACCGTCCTGGCCAACATGGTGAAACGCTTTCTCTACTAAAAAATACAAAAACCAGCTGGGCATGGTGGCACGGGCATAGTCCCAGCTACTCGGGAGGCTGCGGCAGGAGAATCGCTTGAACCCAGGAGGCAGAGGTTGCAGTGAGCTGGGATCACACTACTGCACTCCAGCTGGGTGACAGAGCAAAACTCCATCTCAAAAAAATAAAATAAAATAAGTAACCATAGACAGCATGATTTTACTGTAACTCCCCCACCTTTTTTTTTTCAAAGAGACAATGTCTGTATTGCCCAGGCTAGTCTCACTCAGCTCCTAGGCTCAAGTGATCATCATGCTGTAGCCTCCTGAGGAGCTAGATTACAGATGCAAGTACTCCATTTTTAGCAGCCTTTTCCTTTATATAACTTTCTCAGAGTTGATGTTTCACCAAACATGTAACAATATGAAAGTGGAGGCTAGATAATGGAACACCTTATACATCGTCATTTAAATTTCCTTCTTGTGCTTGCCTGGGCAGCACATATACTAAAATTGGAACTATACAGAGAAGATTAGCATGGACCCTGCACAAGGTTGACAATTTTAAAATATTTAAAAATATAATTTCTTCCCTGTTCATTAACTAGGTAAAAGGCCAATTCTTTCCCAGAATGACCTAATCACCTTATGTATGTCTGTGTTTTTATATGAATCCAAATTCAGGTCAGAGGCCACTCAAGGGGGAAAAAGATCTGAGACTTGGTTACATCATCCAGGATACAGACCAACTCTGAAGTTCCTTTTCTGGCAAGCTGTTTATTTGCTGCCTGCCTGGAAGAGGGTGGGAGGTGGGGAGTCAGCTGGGTTTAAAATTTAACAGTTTAAAATAATAGATATGATCTAATGTCTTACATCTATTCCTACCAGTGATGAAGTGTTAGAATAAACTGGCTCAGGACAAAGCTTCATTGGAAAACAGTTTAGTGTAACGGACTAAAACTGATGATGAGGCCAGGCATGGCGGCTCATGCCTGTAATGCCAACACTTTGGGAGGCTGAAGCGGGCAGATTGCTTGAGGTCAGGAGTTTGAGACCAGCCTGGTCCAACATGGTGATACCCGTCTCTTCTAAAAATACAAAAATTAGCCAGGCATGGTGGTGCATACCTATAATCCCAACTACTCAGGAGGCTGAGACAGGAGAATCACTTGAATCAACAAAAGGGAAATAAATTGTGTTATACTCATTACACTCTGGTGGGTTACATTTATACACAGTTATGAATCTTTTTTTAAAAAAAATCCATTGAGGAAGAATACATACATTGTGACACCATTTATATAAAGTTCAAGACATGTAAAACAAAGCAGTATTTGGTTAAGAACAAAACATGTTGACACTATAAAGAAAAAGGAATGATAAGCATAAAATTCAGAGTAGAGGTTACCCCTGAGTGGGGAGGACTGGGGAGGGGACCCCTGAGTGAGAAGGGACACGTGCAGTAGCAGTGTTGGAGATGAATCAGCTCCTTGCCATTCTCCCTCCAGGTCCTATTGCAAAAATGAAAAAAAGGCAGCAGCATCAGACATATCTTTAGATTGTTTTTTTTTTTTCTCTCTCTCTCTCTCTTTTACAAGTGTCAGCTTAATTCCAGAGCCCCGACCCAGTATTTTCTGATTACTATCTCCCTAAGGAAGAGAAGGAAATCCCTGCTGGCTGTACAGCTGTGATCTTAGATTTCCTCTGAAGCATGTACTGTTTGTGCCTATTAGCATAACTTCAGTCTCTCATTCTCTCCTGACTGATTAGTGATCTCCAGGCAGTTTAAAAAAACATACTTTGGAGGATTCTTGGGATCATGAAAATTCTCATTTGCCTGTTCTATTATTAGAGGAGTGAGAATAGCTACCCCCGAGAGGTCTTCCCAGTCATTTGCATCCCAGGCATTGTCCTACTATGGTGGGTAAAAGAAGCTGGTGCAGATTTGAACATCCTCATGATAGTTCATATTTATTTCAAGAAACAAAGATGTTTGTATATAAGAGTAGAAATTTTAAAAGGAAACCACTGGCCTCAGTTGGTCATAATGTACAACTTAGGACCCACCTATCCAAACAGTCAGCTTGCCCCTCCCCACAGCCACTCACTGTTTGAGATGTGTGATATGTTGTCTCCTCCTAGGGGTGGCTGGAGTTCATGCAGCTTGGAAAGAGTAAAAACCCCATCTTACACCCAGCTGATTGATTACAGCTTGTCTTCATAAAAAGACTGACCTGCTCCTTCCCGGGAAAGCACCCCTTTGCTCTGCAGGCATGAGTCATAGAGAGCCCCACCCAAGCAGCAGACAGGCAGGGGGAGCTGAGAGCAGGTGCAGAGTTGAGAACAAACAGGGGGTCACATTAGTGCAGGCGCCTGAGCATGACTCGGCAGAGCCCGGGCATGGCCCGGAGCCCGGGGCAAGTTGTTTTGGGCTGAGTTTCCCATTCCACCCTGCGGTTTGGTAACTCCTCATCAGCTTGTAAACCATGGAGACCACACCCCCAAGCACCACCCTTAGTGATCTGTTTCCTGGGCAGATGAACCTGACCAACCACAGGGCCACCTTTCTCTTTTTGGCTGGGGTTTTGGGAACTGTTGAAGAGTGTGTGGTTTGAAACGAAATCTCCCTATCTCAAACCTCTTTCATCAAATAAAGCAAAGGATGCAGGGTGGTAGAGGGGAGTCTTCCTTTGGCCAACCTGCTTTTCCATGTCTCCTTAGCTTAATGATTTTTATCCAGAGATTCTTCTGAAAGGGCCTATCCTTTATGCTATTCCCTTCATTCTGTTACTAAGTTTTCTCTCCAGATTTACTAGCCCCTCCTTTGCTTTCTGATTCCAGAATGCTTACCATGCTCTTCACACCACACATCAGTCATTAAGCTACATCAGCTCTTCATCCCAGTTATGAGGACTTGGTAATAGGTTCCAACAGAGTATTCCCTTTGTGTTACTTGTATGTGTTTATTTTAGTGGAGTTTTTCTGATTATATTTGTTAAACATGCCTGTTTTTTAAATTCAAAAATTATAAAAATATAGAGGCCAGGCTTGGTGGCTCATGCCAATAATCCGAGCACTTTGGGAGGCCAAAGCAGGAGGATCACTTGAACCCAGGAGTTTGAGAGCAGCCTGGGCAACATAGTGAGAACCCCATCTCCACAAAAAAATTTTAAAAATAGCTACTACTAGGGAGGCTGAGGCAGGAGAATCATCTGAGCCCAGAAGGTTGAGGTTGCAATGAGCTGTGATCTTGTCACTGCATTCCAGCCTGGGTGGTGGCAGAGTGAGACCCTGTGCGCACATGTGTGTATGTGTGCCTGTGTGTAAAATGTAGAAAGTAAAAGCCTTCCCCAGAAGTATTTCTACCTTTCTTGTAAGAATCACTATCAGTTTGGTGATGTTCCTCCAAATTTTTTCCTATATTATTCTAACACGGACACGAATTTCAAATGTGTTTGAGGTTCTTTTTTACTTAACAGTATACCTTGTATATCATTCTACTAAAATACTGAACAAGTTTTTTTTTCCTTTTTGTTTTAATTTTTTTTTTTCTTATTACAGGAGAGTTTCGTAGACCTGACAGTTTTGTGTTTTGTTTTGTTTTGTTTTGTTTTGTTTTGTTTTGTTTTGTTTTGTTTTGTTTTTTGAGACGGAGTTTCGCTCTTGTTACCCAGGCTGGAGTGCAATGGCGCAATCTTGGCTCACTGCATCCTCTGCCTCCTGGGTTCAGGCAATTCTCCTGCCTCAACCTCCTGAATAGCTGAGATTACAGGCATGCGCAACCATGCCCAGCTAATTTTTTGTATTTTTAGTAGAGATGGGGTTTCACCATGTTGATCAGGCTGGTCTCGATCTCTTGACCTCGTGATCCACCCGCCTCAGCCTCCCAAAGTGCTGGGATTACAGGCTTAAGCCACCGTGCCTGGCCGACCTGACAGTTTTTAACAGCTTCATAGCATATAGTTGTATGGATTATAATGTAAGTAATTTTTTTTGTTTGATGTCTCATCTTTTAGTATCACAAATAGTATCATAGTAAATATCTTTGAGACAGAGTGTTACTCTGTCACCCAGGCTGGAGTGCAGTGGTGCGATCTCGGCTCACTGCAACCCCTGCCTCCCAGGTTCAAGCAAGTCTCCTGTCTCAGCTTCCCGAGTAGCTGGGATTACAGATAGCTGCCACCAAACCCAGCTAATTTTTGTATTTTTAGTAGAGACGGGTTTCACCATTGGCCGGGCTGGTCTTGAACTCCTGACCTCAAGTGATCCACCTGCCTCGGCCTCCCAAAGTGCTGGGATTACAGGCGTGAGCCACCACACCTGGCCAGTAAATATCTTTATATATCTTTTCTATTTTCTTATTTTTTTGAGATCAGGTCTTGCTCAATCACCCAGGCTGGGTGCAGTGGTGCAGTCTCAACTCACTGTAGCCTCATCAACATGGGCTCAAGTGATCCTCCCACCTCAGCCCCCTAAGTAGCTAAACTACAGGCATACGCCACCACACTTGAATAATTTTTTAATTTTTTATAGAGATGGGGTTTTACCATGTTGCCCAGGCTGGTCTCAAATTCCTGGGCTCAAGCAATCTGCCTGCCTTGGCCTCCCAAAAGGTGCTGGGATTTCAGATGTGAGACACCACGCCCAGCCATATAGATATCTGTGTGCACTTGTCGTAGTATTTCTCCAAGAAAAATGTATTAAGAATTTCTGGTTAAAGGGTTAAATTTGAAGAGCTATTGCCAGATTTCAGTCTTTAAAATTCTACAATTCTGCCAGGTATGGTGGGGGACCCAGGTGGGCAGATCAGTTGAGGTCTGGCCAACATGGCAAAACGTCATGTGCACTGAAAAGACAAAAATTAGCCAGGCGTGGTGGCATGTTCCTGTAATCCCAGCTACTCTGGAGGCTGAGGTGGGAGAATTGCTTGAATCCAGGAAGCGGAGGTTGTAGTGAGTTGAGATTATGCCACTGCACTGCAGCCAGGGCGACAAAGCGAGACTGTCAGAAAAAAACAAAACACAAAAATTCTGCAGTTCACACTCCTCCTGCCAACAGTGTATGAGAGAGCTTGTTTGGCCATACCATCATCAACACTTGCTCTTACCAACCATTTTAATTCCTGTCAGTCTGATTAGGTAAAAAAAATCAGATCTCACATTCATTTGTTGTTGTTTTGCTTTGTTTTTTTGCTATTGAGTATCTTTTCAAACATTTATTGCATAGTTCCGTTGAGCAATAACAAAGCATTGCAAGTTAAGAGTTATCTGAGAGTGTTTTTCCTGGGAGGGTGTTGATTATCTTTACAAACTAGATTATTTCCTGTGTATGTCCTCCACAGCAAACAGCGGCATAACAAACTATGGAGATCTCATTCAGATAGTGACCTCTCAGACCACCACGAACCCATCTGCAAACCTGGGCTAGAACTCAACAAGAAGGAGATCACCACCTCAGCAGACCAGATTGCTGAGGTAAAAACCATGGACAGTCACCCATCCATACCTCCTGTCTTTGTGGAACATGTAATCCCACAAGATACAAATCAGAAAGACCTGTGTACCAAAGAAAGAATGATCTGCTTGGAGTTT